TTCACACTCCATCTCCACCATCAGGGGTAAATCCCCGTGGGTTAAAACCAAATCAAATATGGCAAATGGATGTAACTCATATTCCTCAATTTGGTAAGCAATGTTATGTACATGTAATAGTTGATACATATTCCAGATTTATTTTTGCCACAGCACGTACAAAAGAAAATACTCAACATGTAATTTCTCATTGCCTAGCAGCCTTTGCTGTGTTAGGGTGCCCTATACAGATCAAAACAGATAATGCACCAGCTTATGTAAGCTCTTCTTTTCAACAATTTTGCCAAGAGTTTCAAATTAATCATAAAACAGGAATTCCTTATAATCCCCAAGGTCAAGCCATTGTAGAACGAGCTCATTTATCTATTAAGCTTCAATTACAAAAATTAAAGGGGCAGAATAAGTTCATGACTCCCCAAAAGAGCCTCAATCATGCTTTGTTCGTTTTAAATGTTTTAAACTGTGACGTAGAAGGTCACACCGCAGCTGAGAGACAAATGTCTCCCACAGTAACAGGCCCTTTAGGCAGAAGTTTTGTGGAAAGATTTACAAAAGGCCCAGACCCAGTGATTATGTGGGGCAGAGGTCATGCTTGTATTTTTCCAGAAGGTGCTTTTCGTCCTATCTGGGTGCCTGAACGCACAATCAGACATGGAAGAGATAGAACCGAGATTCAAGCGACTGAAGATCGACCTGGAGAAGCCCCCATTCAAAAGGAAGAGATAACCAGAAAAGACAAAGAGAAACCAGATTGACCCAGCCGAAAAGCTAATTTCATGGGAAGACGTGAAGAAGCTAACAACACAGGCTTCCCGAATAATTTGACTCCTAGGAAAAAACAGGACCCCAGTCTTGATGGTAGTGACAGTAATTGCCCTGCTGGGCTGTCAGGTAAAGGGGAACCAGACAGACATTTACTGGACATATTTCCCAGATCCACCCCTGGTACACCCAGCTGTGTGGACTGGAGACTCTATTCCAGTGTTTACTAATGACTCATTCATGATGGGAAGATTTACAGATACTCATATTACTCCCAATCATGTGACTAGATTTAATTATTCTGGCTACAGTGCCCAATTACCTTTGTGTTGGTCCCACGATGCTGGCTGTCTGAAAGTATCATTTGAGGAAAAGACAGTGATTGGTAGACCTAGACTGACTAATTATTCTATTTATGGAGACTTAAAACATTATACTAGATCAGTAATTAAGATGGGACTTTCCCATAACAAACCAGTCATTTCTGCAAAACCTCCACGAATACCCCTCTGTCCAAATAGTTCTACAATTGAGATTGGCACCTTTCCTAGATGGATTGTGTAAATACCCTTCCCGTACAACATAAGGTGTCTAAAGATAGTGGGCATATTTTAGACTGGTCTCCAAAAATTGATGAGACAATTACGAAAAAATTCTGCTATGACACCTGCAGGATTTGTTAGTAATATTTTGACTTACAGTGAGGGTGGTATTCAAAAAGATGTTTGGCGCTTAATTGCTGCCTCAGAATTCTTACATTTTACAGACAAGCCTTTACCAAAATTTGTTGGCAAGAACTGTAAGGAGGGATCTTGCTATGGCTTACAAGCCTGTGTCCAATCTCCTTACGTCTTAATTATTGGAAATGTAAAAGTTAAATGGATAGATGACAGATATGTTGTTACATGTAATAAATGTAACCTAACCAATTGTATTACTAGGTATAATGGAGGAAAAAGGAGTGCTGATACTTCATCAGCCCTCTTTTGTTTTATTACCTGCTAATATTTCAGAGCCATGGTATGCTGATGCTGGTTTTACAAGTCTTACAGCAAGTTCATGCCCAGCTAGCAAGACCTAAATGTGCTATTGGAATTATAATTGTTGGTGTTTTGGCGTTAGTTTCTTCTATTGCATCCAGTGTTTCTGCCTCTCTGACATTGTCTCAAAATATTCAACATGCAAAATTTCTTAATAATTTAGCTCAAAATACTTCCAAGGCTCTGCGTAATCAGTATTGATGAAAGGATTGAGACTAAATTAAATGCCTTAGAGGCGACTGTCATAGACATAGGTAATGAACTTTCAGCTTTAAAGTTTAAAGAAAGGTTTAATGCCATGCAAATTATAAATATGTGTGTGTTAACAGCTGCCAAGTGCAATGATTCTCTCTGGGATTGGGAGAAGGTTAAAAACCATTTGTTAGGTATTTGGCAAAATAATAATAATAGCTTGGATCTTTTGGAACTTCATCACCATATCCAAGACATTCAAAATAATAGAGCTGATTTTTCGGATCCTTCTTTGGCTAACCAAATATTAAAGGAGTTAAATGGATTTAACCCTGGAAATATTCTTAAACACTCGGCCTGGTACATTATTAGATTGTTCTCTTTGCTGTTAATTCTCTTTTGTGTTGTAATTATAGGATGGCGAGTCTTCGGAACAAGAATGCAGAAACTCGAAAGAGTGAACCATAGCCTGATTTTTAAGAAAAAAAAGGGGAAATATGTGGGAAGCCATTCTCGCAGGTGATTGGGCACCTCCCTGATTGGGTGTGAGGCGTTCTGGCTAAACTGTGTCAGAACTAATCCCCACCCTCTCTAGGTGCGAGAGCCCATCCGTGTGGGGGTGTGACTGACTATTGACCCTGAGACCAATCACTGACCCTGACCTTGGAATGCTGTCCCCCTCGACCTTCATTGGATGGAATTTTCCCCTGAATTTCTTGTTCCCCAATAAAAGGCCACTCCCTGGCATGCTCTCTCTCTCTCTCCTGATAGCCTTTTGTGTAACCTCGCTGCCCCACCGGGTGGCTCGAGGCAGGAGCCCGAGGGAGAGCCATCTCAGACCTGGTCAAAGAAAAAGGTAAATTGAGTTTTGTGTGTTTATTTTGATCTCACTAGTTAACTTCTATGCTTCGAACCTCTAGTATGAAGCCAGCATGCTGGTCGCGTGGTGGATCCTAGAATGCACAAACAGAAAGTGAGATAGGAAAAATAATTTAGAAATCTGGGCTATTTAAAGATTATAGCAGTTATGTGGGATCTGTGTTTTCAGAAAGATTCTACAAATCCAGATTCTATTTTTCACCTTATAGTTTTATATAATCATCCAAATTGGAAACCATCTTTGGTGTATGTCCTTGTAATTTGATTACCCTTTGGAAAGAAGCTTGTTAGCAGCCATATGTCATGACATATGAAGCTTTAATAGACCTTTAAAAATTGGTTCCTTCATAAATTCTCCAATTTTGTGTGGACAAAGTTAAAGTTCTGGATTTTTTTTTTTTTTTTTCAGTACTAGGGATTGAAACAAGGGGTGCTTTACCACTGAGCTATTCCATCCCCCACCTTTTTTTTTTTTTTTTCCCCCTGAGACAGGATCTTGCTAAATTGCCCAGGCTGGCTTTGAATTTGCAATTTTCCTGTTTCATCCTCCTCAGATTGGGATTACCAGCATGTGTCATCATGCCTGGCTAAAATTTGGGATCTTTATGGTTTTTCAAAAGAAGCTGTTTTTTAGTCCATTTCTGTCAAAAACTCTTCAAATGTTAAGTCTTGAGGTTCCCCAAATTCAGGAGAAATTTAAAGGTGTAAAGTCAGTAGGGAAAATTTTATTTAAAAACATCTTTTTAGGGTATCTTTTTTTGGTTGTGCTCTTTTATGAACCTGTTCTAATTTCTGTTCTGCAGTTACACCGAGAAATAACAACTCAGATTTGGAGGTTAATGAAACAGGGATATTCAAAACTTTTCATTTTGTAATGAAACCCTAGTTGAATGTCTAATTCATCAGTTTAAATTACCATATTCCCATTAAAACCTCCTATTAAGTTAAATTTAGAAATATCAAAATATAAAAAAGATGAGGAAGGGATAGGAAAAGAGCTTGCTGAGGAAAAAGTATATTGTTATCTTTGATAAAGCCAATCACTTTAAGTATCCCCCTCATCTCCTTGCCTCCCCAAGTCAAGCAGACACATTTACAAAGTGAATGCATGCCAAGCAAAGTGGTGCAGACCTGTAATCCCAGCGGCTTGGGAGCCTGAGGCAGGATCTCAGCCAGCCTCAGCAACTGTGAGGCACTAAGCAACTCAGTGAGACCCTGTCCCTAAATAAAGTATAAAATAGGGTATAAAATAAAGTATAAAACTCAGTGGTTGAGTGTCCCTAAGTTCAATCTCCAGTACCCCTCACCCCCAAAAAAGTAAATGCATGAGTTTTTCAGGGTCTCATCCTGAGCTGAGTTGAAAACTGCAAGTTTCCAGACTAAAAAAAAGTGACCTAATATTAATCAGCCATAAAGAACAACCTTATGACATTCACCAGTAAATAGGTAGATCTGGAGACTATCATGCTAAGTGAAACAAGCCAATCCCAAAAAAGGTCAAATATTCTGATATGCAGATGCTCACCCACAGCAAGGGGTGGGGAGGGGATGAAGTACAGTTGATTAGAGGCTGGGGATGTAGCTCAGTGGTAGAGCTTGCCTAGCACATGTGAGGTGCTGGGTTTGATCCTCAGCACCACATAAAAATAAATAAAATAAAATAAAGGTATTGTGTTCATCTACAACTAAAAATAGTTTTTAAAAAAGAAGAAGAAGTTCAATGGATTAGTCAAAAGTGTTGTGTCCAACTATATCTAAAAAAATAATAATAATAAAAATAAAAAATAAAATAAAACAAGCTGGGCACGGTGGCACACACCTGGCTCTGGAGGCTAAGGCAGGAGGATCCAGAGTTCATAGCCAGCCTCAGCAATAGCGAGGTGCTAAGCAACTCAGTGAGATCCTGTCTCTATATAAAATACAAAAAGAAAAAAAAAGAAGGGGGTGACTGGGGGTGTGGCTCAGTGGTCAAGTGCTCCCGAGTTCAATCCCTGGTACCCCCCCCCCAAAAAAAAACAAGTTTAACAAAAAGTTTAATATGAAAATGTACATGACCTGATTTTAATGTCATAGTTAAACAGGCCCCTAGGAGAGAGGGCATGGATTTCTCTGCTGAACAGCCATTATTTATACTTGTTCCAAGCCTTCTAACACAACAATACTATTTCCTTGTGTTGCCATCATTTCAATATTGTTCTGTTCCACTGATTGCCATTTCCACAATGCATCTATCACAAGATTCATAAAGGGATCAAATCCCAGCAATATTTCTTGGACATGTCTGCCACCATTTAATTTCTTTTTTATTTTCTTGGTACCAGGGATGCTTGACCCCTGAGCCACGTCCCCAGCCCTATTTTGTATTTTATTTAGAAATAGGGTCTCACTGAGTTACTTAGCGCCTCACTTTTGCTGAGGCTGGCTTTGGTGATCCTCCTGCCTCAGCCTCCCAAGCTACTGGGATTACAGGTGTGTGCCATGGTGCCTGGATTACTATTTAATTTCAATGATAACTTCTCATCCATAATTTTTTTTCAGCTTGGGAGGGTAAGCATAGCTCATGTTGTCTATCCGGCAGGCTCAGAGGCTCAGAGATACTTTGAAATTGAATTGGCAGCCTCCTTCATGTTCACAGTGATTCAATTATATTCTGACTTGGAATTCTATGATTTCTTTCCATGGATGATTAATTCAGTATCCTCTCCCTGGCATTTAGGTTGGGCCCCTACATACACCTTTAATTTTCTTTTTTTAAAAAATAACTTTATTTAATTAATTAATTTTTATGTGGTATTGAGGATCGAACCCAGGGCCTCACATATGCTAGGCAAGTGCTCTACCACTGAGCTACAACCCCAGCCCCTGTACACCTTTGCCGCAGTCCGGCTGCAGCAAACTAACCCGGGGCTGACGAGCAACTTGTGTAGATTGATACAGCAGGAGTGGGAGCCATTTATTGTAGGACAGGAGGGGTATATATACATTCCACACAGCTTATCTTAATTAACATAAACTAGATACAGCAGTCAACCAATAAGGAATCTCCACACTTAATGGCTTGCTGGCGTTACTTCACAAACCACTCCCTCTGGCAAAATGCCAGGCACCATCTTGACTTGTTTACAGACACTAACACACCTTTAATTTTCAAAACTAAATATATGAACTCAAAGTTATACTTATTAATGAAAACTTATTAATGAAAACCTTATTAATGAAATGTTATTTAAAACATTACTAGGAGGTAGAATGACTTCTTTAAAAAAATGAAACCCCAGATTTGTTTTGTTACAAAAGGAAATGTTTAAGTATTAGTAAAAATATTAAATGGGTCTCATTAATGTATCTAAAGAATACCACATTGTACACTGTCTTCCAGAGGTAGGGGGGAAATATACATTCTACACAAACTTTTCAGATGGAATGGGTTTAAGTTGTTCTCAGTTCTATCAAAAAATGCTCTTAAATATCTTTTGAAAAATTCAATTGGGGGCCGGGTTTGTAGCTCAGTGGTTGAGCACTTGCCTAGCATGCATGAGGCACTGGTTTGATTCTCAGCACAGCATATCAATGAATAAATAAAAATAAATGTCCATAAACTTAATTTTTTTTTTTTAATTTCAATTGTACCAGGGCACAATGTAATCCCTGCAACTTGGGAGACTGAGGCAGTAGAACTGCAAATTTGAGATCAGGTTTGGAACTTGGCCAGACCCTGTCTCAGAAAAAAGTAAAGAAGGCTGGGGATGTAGCTCATTGGTAGAGCACCAATCCCCAGTACTTGAAATTTTTTTTTTCAGTTGTAAATTCTGATTCCCTTAAGTATCCCCAAATAGTAAGTGGTAAACAATGAGTTTGTTACTTGGGGCACTATCTTTCTGAATTGGATCAAAGTTACTAAAATGTAATTAATTTTATTACATAAAATGTCTTTCATTGTTGCTCCTTTGTAGATACATTTAATAGATGGAGAGAGGTCATCATCCCCCATCCCCAGCCCCCAAAAAAGCCCAAAAAACTTAAAATTCAGATGAAGGCAGAAAAAATACAAAACAAGTGTTTTGAGTATTTCTCTCATTTTAACCTAAACTTTGTGTATATCTCTGGGTTTGATTGTGGAATCAATCCTACCTCACCCCTAAATACACATGTTCAAAATGAGACCTTCCAAAAAAAAGAATATAAGAGCTGAAAGAAAAAACTACATATTAAATACTTGCTCTGCTACATAACCAAAATGTTTCCTTTACTAATGTATTCACTTGAGTTCAAAGGAATGTTAAAATTTCCTATGATTTTTATTCCTAAAACATAACATACTAATACTGAGCAAGGTAGTATCATCACAAAGAAATGATCAAAGGACTTCAATTGACAGTCCTCAAAGATGCAATACAAATGACTAATAATGCTCAACATCATTAGTCTTAGAAAAACATAAATCAAAGTCACAATGAGATCACTTCATACTCTCTAGGATATGGCTACTTTTAAAAAAAGAATATAAATGTTGGTAAGAATATAGATATTGGAACCCTTGAGCATTGCTTGTGGGAATGTAAAATTGTGCAGTTTCTGCAGAAAATAGAGTGGCTCAGAACATTAAACAGAATTACCAAATGACCCAGCTATTCCACTCCTGCCTATATATTCCCCACAAAATTGGAAAAAATTAATCAGATACTTGTACACTAATGTTCACTGAAAAGTAAAAAGTTGGAAAACAACCCAAGTGTACAGTAACATATGAATGGATAAATACAATGTGGTATAGCCATATAATGGAATATTATTCATCTATAAAAAGGAATGAAGTTCCCATACTGCTGCACAACGTAGACGAACTTTGCCAGCATTCTGCTTAGTAAAGTAAGCCAGTCACTAAAGGACAAATATTGTATGATTCCACTTATATGAGGTAGCTAGAGTAGTCAAATTCAAAGTCAGAAAATAGAATGGTGGTTGCCAAGGACTGGAGGTGTGAGGAATGGAGTGATTGTTTATTGAGTAGTTTCTGTTGGAGATTGATTAGAAAGTTCTAGAAACAGTGGCGATGGTTGCACAACCTTATGAATTTACAGAAGGCCTTTGAATCGTATACTTCAAAATGGCTAAAAGGGCGAATCTGATGTGTATTTTTGCCAAGAAAAATACATACGGGGAGTCACAATTTTTAGAAATTCTGGGGTGCATGGGAGAGGACAAAAAACACACTCTCAATGCAATGCACCGGTGATGTAAGGGTGCGGCAGAGACGGGTAGTTTGTTCAATCAGGTCAGCCGCCAGCTTTCTGAATTCAAAGCTGCGTCAATTTGAAATATCAAGAGCTAATAAGTTGCCGCCCTACCCTATTTCCGTTTGTGACCAAGAATATCTTTCCCTTGAGAGTTTCTCAAGTTTTGCTTTTAAATATATTCTAAAGGTGCTCATTGTATTTACTTCTATCATCTTTAATATTTCAACTTTCTGTCCCCAGCACTGTCGGGGGACCAAAAAAAAACACCCCTCACATTTCTGAGACATCACACCCCCAATCGCAGTGCCGATGTGAACCCGCTCGTCGGTGCCAGGAATGGCTTCTTGTTTCGGGTGAAGTAAAGGTCAGGGTGAATTTTGTTCACAAGTCACATTAACGCCCAAATATCATCACCGCCACTAAAACCTGGGCCTAGGACAGAGGGCGGCTCTCAGAAGCAGGTCTCCCAACACCCAACTCCACAAGTAGGGTTCCTCACCCTCTGAAACGGATACAAGGTCTGTGAAGTCTCTGGGCCGCTCCAAAGGATTCTGGGAACTAGGGGAGGGACCAAGGAGCACAAACGAAAATGTTGGCATAGGGCGTGCAGCGGATAGCTGTAGGATTATCAGCCAGTTGCTGCGCACCTTCTCAAATCTTCCGAGCACCACCACCACTTCTCCAACAGTAGGCCCGCGCCCGGCTCTGCCTTGTCAGCCAATCATCGGGCTGGTGCTTGTCCATACCGGCCAATCCGGAACACGTTTACTTTGAGCGGGAAAAGCTCAGAAGCTGCAGGAAAGCGAGGTCGGCTAACCGCCCCTTCTTAGCCATGTCTCCGGCGGCGGGTAACAGCCCCTGGAGGCGGGTGCCCATTGGCTAGGCAGCGGGCCAATGAGGGGTGCAGGGTGAGAAGTGGGCCTCACAGGAGGGGGCGGGGCGCGGCCGGCCGGTGCGGGGTCGCGTGCCGCGTCTCGAGCCAGGGGCAGACAATGTAACGGCCTCTTCCCCGCCCCACCCTCCCGGCTCCGGCCCCCCCACATACCGGCTCCAGGCAGCGCCCGGGGCGGCAGCGGTGGGGTGCAGGCTGAGGGAGCTGGGCCTCGACGCCCTCCCTCACCCGGTACCCCAGGAGCCGTACCTAGTCCAGGAGGGGCTGGGGGTCCCCATGGAGGTGAGAGACGGAGACACCTGCCCTCCCCCTCACCCCCAAGGCCTGAGGGAGGGATTTGAGGTGGTGACGGGCCGGGCTCCCGGGGACGTGGGGGCGGCCAGGCTTGGAGGATGGCGACGGCAGGAGAAGCTGACGGGCTGGCGCGTCCCCAAGTGTGGTTCTTTAAGGAGGCTAGGACCACCGGGAGAGGGTGGGTCGCTTGTGAGGAGCACCGACGGGGCGCCGGGTCTGTGCCGCCGAGCGGGGTGGGGGCGACAGGGTTCGCCGGGGCGAGGAGTGCCTGCGTGGGCTGAGTAGATTGGCAGACTGGGTCCGGGGTCGCTGGGATGCCCTGGCGGGGCCCTGGTGGTGACCTAGCGCTGACGCCTTGAACCCGTCGGGTGGCACAGACGCTGGGGCAGGCTGGCGTCGTGAGCCTGTGAGGGTTATTGGTGCGGCGCAGCGGGGCTGGCACACAGCGGGCGGGAGGGTGAGGGGGAATCCCGGGGACAGAGCTGGGGCACCGAATTCGTGTCCCTTGAGAGCGTTTGGAATTGAGTTAGTTGAAGAATCCAGATGGAACAGTCATCTGGCCGTTTAGGTCCTGGCTTTGCGCTGCGTGATGACTTTCTCCCATGTCCTTGTTTTCTGCAGCCTAAAGTAGCGTTCCGTGGAGGTGCGAATCGCTGCTGGAACCTCACTGTCGACACCAGCAGCAGATTATCCGATGTATTCAACAGCGTGATGTTGACTGGCTCCACTTCCTTCTATGATTGCTACAAATCGCAGGTCCATTAATAACCCCAACCCTTGGTTAGACAATTCATTCTAAATCAAATTCATGCACCCAGGCTGATTCATTGGTGTTTAAATGGCTCCACAGTTAGGACCAGAAAGCCGGTTACAACATTTTAAATATGCAGAATACATACTTAGGTGTCTTTTTTTTTTTTTTTCTTTTTTAAGCAGGGATTGAACCCAAGGGCATTTTGCCACAGAGACACATCCTAGCCAGTTTTATTTTTTCTCGCTAAATTGCTTAGGGCCTCTGAGCTGGCTTTGATTTTGCGATCTCCTGCCTCAGCCTCCCAAGCTGTTGGGGTTTCAGGCAGGCACCACCGTGCCCAGTTCCTACTTAACTTTGAAAATAAGGTCAGGAATAAGATTTTTTA